AGCAGAGTTAGACCTGCAAAACCTAAATTGTTTACTATCTGGAAAATTTGCCAATTCCTGGTCAAACACTTCATCCCCCTGGGGCCCTTTAAAGGTCTGGGACAGAAGTCTGAGCACTGACTGGGATACAGACTCTGGGCAGAGATTTTCTGGGAAGTTACACCCAGGCCCCTCTGCCTGAATGTGCCTTACCCAGCAGATGGTCCGTGAGGGTGGGCACACTGGTGGCTGTGAGGGTCAGTTCCTTGTCTTCGCTTCCTTCCACGGGGCCCAGCAGGAAGCGAACACGCTGTTCAAGGGCGGGAGGCTTCCCAGCATTGAGACCTGAGCATACACAGGTAAAGGACATCTTGTCATTTCTGTCCGAACACCTTGGGTTGGACGGGCTGGGAAGTATGGGGATGTAGAAGACAGATAAAAGCCCACGGTGTAGGGAACCGAATAGCAGTAGTTAAGAAACAGACCTGGTGGTGGGGGGGGGCGGAGAAAGAGGCCTGGGTTCAAATCCTGACTCTATTGCTTATTAACTGCTTATAACAACGGACAATTCTGAGTCTGTTTACCATCTGAACACAGGGCAAAGTGAGGACTAACAGAGTGTACAGAACACAGGATTAAGAAAGCGCTCTGCCCAGACGACTAAGTCACATGACTATTTGGCTGTTAAGGATCAGAAGCGGAAATGGGCTCCCGGGAGAACGTGAGCGGAATCGTCAGGCTGGAGGCACTCACCCTTCAGAAGCTGCAGCTCCACGATATCCCGCAGGTGCTTCCATTTTAGCCCCGGAGGCTTGTAGGCCGCGAAGAGCCCATGCAACCGCCGTAAACCGGCGGACCCCATTCCTGAATGGGTCCGGCGGTCCACGCTCGCAGTAAAGCGGGACGGACGGAAGTGCCGTACAGTCCCTTCCCTTACAAGGGAAGTGCCGTACAGTCCCTTCCCTTACTGTCCTTACAAGGGGCGCCGCCATGTTTCGCGGCCGGAAGCGGTTCTCTTCTTAATATCCTCGGGGGAAAGGTGCAGCGGAAAATGAAGTCGAGCCCGGCGCTGAACCCCAAGGCTAGCGAGGCTTACTTGGAAGTCCTTTCTGGCGGGTGAAGTGGGAAGAGTTTTACATTGTTGGTAGAGTAGGTGGCAGACAGGTCGTCTGGGTTTCCTTCTCACACTTAGCGATAGGGCCCTTTCCTGTCCGAGCTCCCGACAAGGACCTACTCAGAGTAGCAGGGATCGAGCACTTTTGACCTCTCTGGTGCTCGGTCTCCAGGGAAGTTTGAAGCATCGGCCTTGCCTCGCCGGTTCCCCCTTGGACCTGGGAAGTGCCCGCTGTCATGGCGACGCTGCTGCTCCGGACGTTGCGCCCCCTCCGCCTCCTCCAATGTTTCCCTGGGCCTGCTGCAGGCGAGTGGCGGAGGCGGGAAGGCGTACTGGAGGCCCCCCACACCTTTGACCACGGCCTTTTTCTTGCTTGCAGATGTTCCCCTCCGAGCCTCGAGCCATGGCACCGGCCTGCTCTACCCCGAACACATCCCCACCTCCCCGCTGCAGAAGGCGCTGTTGGCGGTGGGCTCTGCGGGAATGGCCCTCTACGATCCGTACCGCCACGGTAAGGNAGCCCAGTCCAGCCCAGGGCTGGAAGGAAGTTCGTCCCACTGCCTTGGCCAGCAGAGCTCAGGGCTGGGATGTGCTGGCCTCTGCAAGGGCATTCTGCAGTGACTCCCCAAGCCCAGGAGCCCCACCTCCCTGCTCCAACTTCCCGGGGTGACTTACCCAAAAGGAATTCTGGAGGCGCAAAGTGGAGGCAGCGGATGCCGGTTATCAGCATCGGAGACTTGTTCATGGGCCGGATCAAGCCTCTCACAGCCATCTCATAGGCCTCCTGAGTCTGCAGGTCGAGGTTGGAGTACCTGGGGATCAGGAAGCAGGCAGCGTCGGGTGGCTGGCGTGGGGTGGGGAGCTGGGCTGACTGCTTACCCCTGGCCCTGCCCACGCCTGAAAGATGCCTTTCCTGAAGCTCTCCCTTCACTCTCCATCTCCCCTGCCCCTCCAGGTGCCTTCGCAGAGGCCGTTTCTCTCTCCTTTCCCATCCCTAAATGCAGTCCGCGCTCCACTGCACACTCTCCCTGGCTTCAGCAGTCGCACTCGTGCTGACCACTCTGTGCCATGATGATGTAGTCCCTGGCTTTCCTCTCCACTAGACCATATACGCCCTGGGAGGGAGGCTGGTGTCTCCCAAGGGCTGGCCCAAGACCCGACACACAGGAACACTTCCGTGTGCTGTGGGAGAAAGGAGTGGTCCATGGATCCATGGATTCTGCCCCAGGGCAGGCGGGGCCCACAGGAGCCCTGTGGGCATGTCTTGAGGGCCCCTTTACAGGAGGTGTGAGTCAGGCCCCACTTACTTCACCAGGGCCTTCTGATGGGAGCCTTGGATCAGGGCCAGGATTCGGTCCAGCTTCTCTCTGGTCACGTGGTCTGGAAAAGCCAGGG